AACTTTTTCCAATCCTAAATTTAGTTCCCAATGTTTCTTAATGTCCAAAATCTGTGTGGCTATGCAACGGAAGGTATTCTCAATTTCCTTACATGATTTGCTCTCTCATCTATTTGGATAATTGTTAGTTACATAGTTATATTTATTCCATTTCAAATGATATAAAAGAGTACAATGATACCATTTGGCGATGTTAGATGTTAACTTCTGGAGAATTATTGTTTCAGAATAGCTATTCTCACAATGTTGGTTTCTCAGGTCTTGCCAAGATATGAGCTCTTAACTGTGTGTGTGTGTGTGTGTGTGTGTGTGTGTGTGTGTGTGTGTGTGTGTTTTAAAAAATCCAGACTCTTATTGCAAATATTCTGAAAAATCAGAAATATTACATGAGCTTTGAAAAGAAACCAAGGCATTTAGCAAATTTTAGCCTAGCTAGAGTAAAGAACACGGATACTTAAAAAAAAATACAATTTACCTTTTGCAGCAATTTAAAGGTCTAACCCTTTGAAAGGAAGCACATTAGCAAACAGCTGCTTATTAAGCCCTAGTGACATTAATTGTATGCATTTCCATAATACCGGTCTAATTCACTGTCTAATTCTGGTAGGAGGCAATGCTTTCTTTCAAAAGATTCTTCTTCCATGGAATGATAAAATGCTGAGGCTTTTTTTTTTTTTTTTTTACAGAGCCTGTATTTAGTGCAATAAGTTTAAAAAATTTGCTCTGAAATATTTACTTTACATTAACAAAAATAGCCTTTTTTAAAAAAATTGTAACAAAAAGGAGTTATCGCATAAACAGATCATGAATTATTCTTAGCAAATTACACTTTTTTTTTTTCTTAAAGCATTCACCATTACAATAAGCAGAACAATGGAATATTAGCCATTCATATCTGGTAAGCTTCAGGAATTAAAAAAAAAAAAAAAGAAATCAACGAAGAAACAAAAACCTCAAACCCATCCCCAAACAAAAAGTATGTTCGACTCTTAGGATCAAAACATAACCAATTCTTCAGTTAAACGTTGTAGAATTCTGGATACTGAATGAATTGCCAAGGAGAGGAGCACCAGCCAGTATGTTTTCAGATTTTATAGCAAGCATCTGAATAAAATGGCCATTTAGCCCTAAGCCACTGACGTTCCTTAGAAGCAGAAGCCCAAGCACTGGAATCTGCAAGGCTTTTGTGTTCCATGTTTCCCTCCCTTCTTTATTCCTCCCAGCATTACTTAATCTGCAAATCAATACACAGAAACTTAAAGGCTAAACTCGCTGGGTACCCCAGCTTCCCTTCAAATCAGGCACACAAATGTGTGGAGGATGCTACTAAAGTAAAAAATGAAAGAGAAGACAAACTATAAGAACGAAGTTTGCATAATAAAGATTACCTACCCTTTTCTTTTTAACCTACTCTCTTATAGAAGCTTAGGGTAAACTACAAATACCTGAGGAGTTGGTTACTTTTTAATGTTGGCTGACAAATGCATGAGCGATTATGAAAATTCCCATATTGAGTCCACTGGTATGTTTCTAAAAGTAAAATGACATGGCTTCTTTGATTGGGGAAAACTGATTGGAGTAACTCCTTATTTATCTGAAAGCATATGCCTAGTCTCTTCCCACTAGGACTTATGCATCAGTAAAATAAGATATTGATTTTATGCACACATCAGGGAAATCATCCCTGAATATACTTTAGACAGAGAATTCGGTACAATAATTTTACCTCATTTAAATAACTAAAGTTAAAATCTCCTCTAAGTTATTAAAAATGTTAATCAGATATGAATCTTAACATTTCCATTAAGACAATTACAATTGAAAACATTAAATGACGGCAGTTGCCTTGTAAAAGCCACCCGTATGAAAGGAGTACATGTTTGACAAAAATAAGCATAAAAAAGGTATTAAATCCCTGTTCCTTTTCTCTGATTTTGGCTGATTATGTGTGTGTGTGTATATACATATACATATATATACACACATACATATACATATATACACACACCCACACACACAAATACATAGTTATGTGTATATATTGTTTTGGAATGTCAATGGGTTCCATAACGGTCGGCTAGGTTCAAGCGGAACTTGCTCCCGAAGCCTAGAAAACAAAGTCATACAGAGTACAATCTTAGACAATTACCATTAAAAGGAGGTCATGAATGATGTTACAAATACATAGATGGTCACAAGTGGCAACAAAGCAAAATGGATTGTGTGCCCTTCACCCAGAACCTATATTCCAGGGGCCACAATTCCTATGAATGTTGAAAAGTCTGAGGTGCCTGGATGGCTCAGTTGGTTAAGTGTCTGACTTGGGCTCAGGTCATGATCTCATAGTTCATGAGTTCGAGCCCCACATCGGGCTCTGTGCTGACAGCTAGGAGCCTGCAGCCTGCTTCAGATTCTGTGCCTTTCTCTCTCTCTGCCCTTCCCCTCTCACACTCTGTCTGTCTCAAAAGTAAATAAACATTAAAAAAACCAAAATTTTAAAAAAAGTCACATTTCCTTCTGGATAATCTTTGAGATATGCAGAGAATACATCTCTGCCCTATGTTGTTATTGTGTTCAGGTTTTTATCTCCTTTTACTCTATAAATTCTTTCCTGTTGAAGCAGATGGCCAGAAGTTCTTTTTCTTAAACTTCTGTAATGTCACATTTAGTAAATCTTTCTAAAATCATTTTCAAAGATTTATAGGATGATCTCACAAACCTTCAAATTGTCCTGAACTAGTGAGGCTCTTTCTCAAAAAAAAAAGTAAGTCCAAGAGGAAAACTGGAAATACTTATATTTAACTCAATGATCCTTTGTCAAAAGGGAAATTTAAAACCTCACTTTCCTGAACATTAATTCTATAAGCTAAAAGTAAACCCTAAATTAAAATATCCCATTTAGAAAGAAGATAGACAAGTGAACTTAACAACAGATTACATAGATGTGACTAAATACGTATGACGCTTTTACAGAATTTTATCTAAGGGAGTAACATTTGAATTAAACCAAGCAAATACAAATAAGCAATCCTGCATTCTACCAATCCCTAAGTTTTAATGAGGAATCTCTCAGAGAATTATTTAGGGACACATCCAAGATGCACGGTGGTAGTAGGGGTCAACTCTTGCCATGCTAATGCAAAAGAGAGGTAAGAATCAGAGGTACTGATGTGCTTAAAATACTTAACTACCCTGTAAGCAACATCTCAACTTCTCTCCTGGGAAATTTTTAAACCATATAAAAAAACATCATTCTTAGGGACCAAATGCTGTAATGTCCAAAGCACCAGAAGCACAATGCACATAAAAGATATATTTGGGAACACAGTGGAGGGTTTTGCTGTTAATCTGCAAGCAATGAGCTGATGAGCAACATAAAGTAAAACCAAAATATGTATGAAGATTTTTAAAGCAGTGTTTCAGTTAAAGGGCATTAATTTAAAACTGAAAGCAATACTGGGGTGAAAAATCTTTCTAAATTTTTGGCTTCTGGTAGAATGCCACATAACCTGGGGATTCCTCTTCTTATTACCTATGAATTAGGGGTTGAGGTAAGAGACGGCATACTTGTATACTTGTCTTTCACACTTTATCCTTCACTAAGGGAGAATGCAGAAATACGTGCCAATTCATGGTCAAACTAAGCTAGTTGAGACCTCCAAATATTTCTCCCTTTTTAAAAATGATTATGATTGACAAATGACTTAATAGAAATGTCAACCACTGGAAAGACAGAAAAGGGGGGCAAAGGTGGTTTACATTTTAAGATTTAATATTTTACCTTTTTAAGGTTTAGGCTGGGAACCAGTTTCTGAATAAGTATGACAAACAGTGGCAAGAAGGAAGCCTTCCTCATTTATCCAGGCCACCAGAGGGTTGGCAGAATCTTCACTTCTGTCCCCCCCGGCCAGTGTCAAGTAGGAGGTATACAGAAAGAAGGGGTAGAGAAGGCAAGAAGCCAGACCAGAGGGGCTGCTGATGGTGCCCTTTGCCCACTCAATGCAGTTCTGGCTGGTACACACTTAAAACTAAGAGCTCTACGTCCTCTGACTTATGATTAGAGTGATCTGTACCTTGGAAAATAAGCATTGAAGGTTTGACTTTGACAATCGTCAATGCTATTAACAACAACACAAAAATGGGCCCTGGAGAGGGCAACGGAGGAGAGAATTTATATGTAAACATTCTGCTGTGGCTTTAATTTAGGTTGAATATGCAATTATTTTGCATATACATATAGCCTCCTCACTACCAGACCTCAAACGAACCCATTTCCTTTACTCATATATACTTAAATGGGCTTGTTTTATACTGTGTATTTCTCAAGTTGGAAACCTATGAAACCAACCAGTTTATTAAACTATAAAGAAGAAAGAGGAGTCTTCATCTCACACTTTGGGATATCATGTGCAATCAGAAGGCACATTATTTAAAATTAGCTGTTTAAGAACAATACATTTGCAAAATAAGTAGTAATTACACAAATATATGCGAGAGATATCTGTCATTATGCAGAGGTGACAATATCTGTGGCAAAAGCAACTCAGGATTCTCTCACACTATGTTTTTTTTTTTTTCCCAAATGAAAATACTTATAATATACATACATATCACTGACCAGAGACCATTTATCTTTCTCACAATTAAGCTGAGGTTAGAGAAGACCAGGTAGTTTTATTGAGTGGGAATGTGAGTGTTGATGGAATAACCTTGTTTGCCACTGAAAAATAGCTCAAGAAACAAAGAAAGTACAATCCGGGCAACAGAAGAAAAAGTCAGCAAAAGGTAAAGACAGCAACAGAAACAAACCAATATTAAAAAAGTGGGGAATATGAATTTTAGCAAGTTGAAAGGAATTGCTAGTATCACCTTCCAAAATGATAAAAATCAAACTATCAGTTCAAGTGTACAACCAAAGGTTCAGTTCAATGAAAACCAAACACGGACGGTTAAAAAGAAAAAGAAAAAAAAAATCCACACAACACACACCAGAAACGGCCATTTTCCTTTAGGGACAAAAATTACCCTCCTATGAGGCAATGAGCCCTGAGACAGATGCTATTCCTTTCAGCTTACTTTTACAGAAGGTGGTCTCAGTTGTGACAAGAATTCTGCCATCCAAGTGATGGGTAAACACACAAACAGAAAGAGCAGCACATCCTGCGTGATACAGACAACAGCAGCTTCTCCTGAAGAAGTACAGTCAGTGAAAACAGAGAGAGAGAGGAAGTGAAAGTGAAATTCTTGGAGGGCGGTCACCTCCTCATCTCCACCTACCATCGGTTTTAGCTCTCTGGCATCGGCCACGCCTCCCTTACCAGCTTCTTTCATTGCTTTTCTACTGTTTTCCACAAACTCCTGCAAAATATGGACCAAATTGCATAAATTCTTAGGTCCTTTCAGATTTTGGTTGAAAGATGAATTCAAAGGAGCACTGCAATTTTCGATTCAATATCAGTACAAGGATGGCCTAAAACCACAGCAGGGACTAATATTTAGTATCACTACACAAGAGCTGTTAAATTTGTGCATACAGGCTGTAATTTGTCAGCATCTTTTTCCCATCCATTTATTGCGACAATCTCACTTAAGCTCAAAGAGAGAACATTACTTCTATCTGGAAGAGAAAAACCCAATGCTTTCTTAAAAGATTGTTTTTTCATACTTAGATATTGTTCTATTTGTTGTCTTACTTCTTCCATATCAAGGTTAAACAGAACAACAAGAGTGTTTTACTCCACAAGCCCTCTCTTTAAAATAACCCTAGCAGGTAAAAGAAAGCATTGATTCTCCTAAGTGCAGAATATTGTTTTTACTCAATCATAAATAAGCTACTTTAAAAAAAAGTCTATCTGGCTTTGAAATTACCCCATAAAGCAGGAAGACAGGAAGTAACAACCAGAACCTGTGGTCAAAAGTAGTTAAAATAGGATTATGTCCCAAAGAAATGTTTCTATCGTGTCAAAGTTTATGGAGCACTTCTCCATTAAAAATCCTCACAATTCTTACAGAAAAAAACTAAAGGAAAAAAAAGTGTATTTTTTTAACTCTGCTTTTGATCTAGGGTGTAAGACACAAAAACAAAATTCTTCTTCTTTTTTTAAAAGATTATATATATATTTTTTTAAAGTAATCTCTAGGGGCACCTGGGTGGCTCAGTCAGTTAAGTCTCTGACTTCAGCTCAAGTCATAATCTTACAGTTCATGAGTTCGAGCCCTGCATCAGACTCTGTGCTGACAGCTCAGAGCCTGGAGCCTGCTTCATATTCTGTGTTTCCCTCTCTCTCTGCCCCTACCCTGTTCATGCTTTGTTTCTCTCTGTCTCTCAAAAATAAACATTGAAAAAAACATTAAAAAATTTTAAGGTAATCTCTATACCCAATGTGGGGCTCAAACTTACAACCCCAAAATCAAGAGTTGCATGCCAGCTAGATGCCCCCAAATTCCCTATCTAAATGTCTTAATCAGAAGGGAGATGGAATGCTCACAAGTCAAATATCATTATGAAAACAACCAGTTAGAATTATTAGACATTATGAAAACGTCCAAAATTTAGTTGATGGTGATTTCAGTGAAAGAGATAATCAGCACCAAATACGTCTGTTAAATCATTTGGAATTTTTGCAATTTAAAAACAAAAAAAGACTCTATCTTATTTATTAACACATTTATTTCAGATTTAACTAAATAAACCACGCTCCTGGAAGACGACTTACTACCTCAATGTCTAATGTTTACTCTTCAATATTACCTACTCTTCATATAGGAATATTTCACAGCTTAATGACAAAGTACTATTATTAAGAAGCGCCCTTAATTTGGTAGCATTTGACACTGATTATAACAGTATTTGAAACATCTAAAGACAGTGTCTAAAGTTTTAAAAATCTTAATTGAGATTCTAATCTAGGGAAGCTGCAGAGGCTAGATAACTATAAAGAATCTGAATAAAGGTTCAGATCTTGACTAATGGAAGACAGTTAAATCTACCAATCAAGGATCTGTTAATCTGTATTCATTACAAAACACTTTCAATCTGGCCTGGTGTACTTAGAATAACAACTTTTAATGGGGCTGACAGCAATAATATTTGGAAAGGTGGTAGATGGAGAAATACAGGCAGATGCCACCACCCGGGAAATAAAGACTTTTTGTCTCTAAGCTCCACTTTAAGAAAGGGCACTTAGAACATGAGTGGTCCAAAGTTCTTATTCAAGGGCTAAAACTCAGCTTTAAAAAGTCAATTCCAATCCATCTCTAATCAAAGAGAGGGAGGCAGCAGTATGAAATAATGTGAACTCAGGATAATAACCAATAATGGGTATTGCTCTAGCTGGGTGTATTTAAATGGTTTCATCCATGCCAAGAGTATCTTCCTTCTTCCCTGATTTCCCCAAGACTCACCTCATTCATGAGCCCTACAGGTTTCATTCTGATTTACTCAGTTGCATATAAGAGGAATTAAATACAAAGAATGTTTTGCAAAATATTTTTACTAGTATGTTTACCCCTAAAGCAGTTGAGGGCATTCGAAACACTTACCATCAGCACTTTATCCATATAGAATTCTCTGCCAGGGCTCCCATCATTGTATTTTGTATCAATGGCAAAACACAAGAATAATACATCCACTACCATTTCGTAAATGGACAGGAAGCAATGAGCGACTAGGAAAGCAAAGAGGCAGACGATGATCAGAGGCAGCACCCATACTGTGTAATCTTGCTGGTAGTTGAGCAGCATAATCCCAGCCAAACCTGTGCTGCAGACTATCAGCACCTGAAGCAGAGAGAACAAAGAACACATTTAATATCCTACCATATAAAACCGCTGTTTCTTCATCATTTGCAGATTTCAAATCCCCTTTAATATTTATAAATGCTGGCTGCATACATTCATTCCTCCACAATTCATGTATACCCACACACACACATATACATATGTATAACATAAATAAAAGATAATCTTTAAAACACTTCTGGTTTACATGAAAAATTGTCATGTTTCCAAATGTTATGCTTGTTCCTTAAAACTTCACATATTTGGGGGCGCCTGGGTGGCTTAGTCAGTTAAGCGTCCGACTTTGGCTCAAGTCATGTCACACAGTTCATGAGTTCGAGCCCCGCGTCGGGCTCTGTGCTACAGCTCAGAGCCTGGAGCCTGCTTCGGATTCTGCATATTTTAGAAAATTGCACTATTAGCACTTAGAAGAAAATTACTGACATTCCAGGGTATTGCACTTCTACATATATGAAATAGTATTATATAAATAAATAATTAAAAGCTATTCATTAATATTTATAGTAGCATTATAAATGTTTCATAAATACTTAGCTGCATAATTTCATCTTATCAGTGATTCAAAATTTGACCATTCTACAAATGAAGACTTATATTGTTTTCTGGTATAAATAATGCTGCAACAAACATCTCTAAGAGTTTTTCTTTGTTTCATATTTTATTTCACCAATATAATTTAAACATGTGGTAAATTTAATATGATTTGCCATGCAGTTTAGATTTGGATCACCTGTGAGGAAAAAGACTCCCACAAACATCCGTCATAGAGGAATATAAGAAATAGTAAAATTGCTTATTGTCAAGAACCACCTATTCTGAGCCTTCCCATGCAGCACTTTAAATTTCTTGTGGTTCTTTTAATACATTTAGTTCAGCTTTTCAATCCCTAGGAATGGTTTATGGCAAACATTATCATCTTCATTTTATAGAATGGAAAACACATTCAGAGACGGTAGCCAACTTGTCCAAGGTCACAGAGTAGGGGGCAGATACCACCCAAATAATGCTCTTATGATGCCAAATCCAGCACTCTTTCCAGGTAAAAACTCAGCAAATACTTGGATATTGATATAAAGCAGTAATGGGTTATACTGAATCCTAAATACACCGGTGCTCAGCCCTGTACCTGGCTGAGCATGAAATGATGGAGGAGAAGAAAGAGTCCTCTAGAACCAGCCTTTCCTTGTCCAGTGCTAAGAATTTTCTTGGCTTTTCCCTACTATTAACAACACCAAAGCATTTCTCCTTCACCATGGTCTTAGCCAAGAGTTACAATGCATTAGGTGAAATATTGGTTAGGCTATAAGTTGACCCTTCTCAGATGATTTTAGGGAGCAAATCTGGGTCTGCCCAACATTTTAGAAGACCCTCCACCATTTGTTGTAGCAAACACTCAGGAATCCTCTCTTACAGTCATTTATTTTCTGGGGTGACTTCTACAGATAGCTAATGATATAATTTCTTTCACTCTTTTTGGTTTTTAGAATGAGTTTTTTCTTATATTCTTCTTCAAATTTTTGACATCTGCCCTACAGAAGGACTGAGGTTCTTTATGCTCGCACTATACTACTAAAAGTTAAACCACAGTTGAAATGTTAAAGTCAATTATAGGGAAAAGGTGTGACTTGGACAAACTAGATGCTGAGACAAAATCTGCTGAGGCGGAAGGCTGGATACTGTCACAGTAGAAACAACTTTAAGGGGCACCTGGGTGGCTCAGTTGGTTAGGTGGCTGACTTTGGCTCAGGTCATGATTCCATGGTTTATAAGTTCAAGCCCTGCATCGAGCTCTCAGCTGTCAGCACAGGCTTCAGTTCCTCTGTCCCCTCCACCGCAAGTCTCTCTGCCCCTCCTCCACTTGTACTCTCTCTCAAAATAAACAAATAAATAAATAAGAAACAACTTCAAAGATTAATGATATTTAGCCAAAAAAAGCCAAGGAAATGTAACAATATAATAATTACTCCCAAATACAATGAAAAGGTATCAAGCAGAGAATACGTTAATGGTTCTCAAACTGTAGAGGGGCTAGGTATCACTTGGGGAATTTGTGAATAATATAGATTCCAGGGCCCTACACCCCAGAGTCCAATTGGTTGGATCTAAGATGAAGCCCAGCAATATTCATTTAAAATTCCTCAGGTGGGGGTGCCTGAGTGGCTCCGTTGGTTAAGCATCCAACTTTTGATTTCAGCTCAAGTCATGATCTCAGTTTGTGAGTTTGTGAGACGGAGCCCTGAACTGGGCTCCCAAGCCTGCTTGGGATTCTCTCTCTTCCCCATACAGGTACACATACACATACAGGTACACATACACACTCTCAAAATAAATACACTTTAAAAAATAAAATAAATAAAATAAAATAAAATAAAATAAAATAAAATGTGCCTCAGGTGATTCTGATAAAGTCTACAACCTACAGGAAGAACTGGCCTAGATCAGTGATATCTATGATGGGGTACACATACCCAAGGGAGCATTTAAGAACATCACCTGGGACTTCAAATTATATTTCTCATTTACTTCTATTTTCTTTTATACTATGCTTTACTATGTATATACTAATAAAAGCTATACATATGTTGTTAATAAATATAAATATATTAGGAAGTGTGTTTAAAAATTTTTTCTAAGAGGATGCATGATTTTAAACATTTCAACACTCCTGTTCTACTGGTTAAATTTTTGGTGATACCATAGAAGAGATTCATACACAGGGCAGGAGGTAAGAAGCAAAAAGGAAAGGATGCTAGTTTTAGAATCAGAAAGATGTAGATTTGAATCACAGAATCAATACTTCTTAGTTTTGTGACTCCAAGCAAGTTCATATAACCTTCCTGAGTCTGTTTTTTCCGCCTTTAAAAGAGACATAAAAGTACATACATCTCATAATTGTTAAAATTAAGCATTCTGAAAGCATTTAACACAGTGCTTGGCAATATTTGTTTTTCATTTCCACCATAAATCTTCCATTTGTGAAGCCCTTTCCACATGGAGCTCATGTTTTTAAAGATTTTGTTTGCCAGTAAAATAGCACCTATAAGTAACAATTCATATCATTTTTTATTAATGTCAAATAAACTACTAATAATTAATGTTAGAAAAGTACCATCAAATGAGATAATGTCACACAGAAGATTTTGTGGATTTATTTTGGTATAACTTTATTGAGCCAATATGCAGTATCTACTAGACTTGAAAATGTTGAAATAGTTTGTAATTCTCTGTTCTTATCTGTGAGGACCCAATAGGCCAGCGGTCACAGGTCACTAGCCACTAAACTAGAAGAGATAAGATCCCACCCAAATCTAATTTACCATTCCATGAAACCACTGGGGTTCCACAGAAGTGGAATCCATGGAATTGTCTTCTGTTTTCTTTTAAATTCAGGATTTTTAAAATTAAATTTTAAATTTTGAGACAATTTTGAATTCACATTTCATTGTAAGAAATAACAAAATGATTTCATGTACCTTTTACCCGGTTCCCTTCAACAGTAACACCTTGTCAAACTAGAGAACAATATCACACCCACAGTATTAACATCGACAGAGACGAAGTACAGAGAGTATCTCCATCATCACAAGGATCCCTCACTTTAAACTGTTTTTTTAAATAGTTTATTGTCAAGTTGGTTTCCATATAACACCCAGTGCTCATCCCAACAAGTGCCCTCCTCCATGCCCATCACCCCCTTCCCCTCTCCTCAACCCAATCAGCCCTCAGTTTGTTCCCAGCATTCAAGAGTCTCTCATGGTTTGCCTCCCTCCCTCTCCTCAACTATTTTTCCCCTTCTCCTCTCCCATGGTCCTCCGTTAAGTTCCTCCTAATCCACCTATATGTGCAAACATATGGTATCTGTCTTTCTCTGCCTGACCTATTTCACTCAGCATAACACCCTAAAGTTCCATCCATGTTGCTACACATGGTCAGATTTCATTCTCTCTCATTGCCATGTAGTATTCCATGGTACAGATAAACCACATCTTCTTGATCCATTTGTCCGTTGATGGACACTTAGGCTCTTTCCATGCTTTGGCCACTGTGGAGAGTGCTGCTATGAACATTGGGGTACATGTGCCCCTATGCATCAGCACTCCTGTATCCCTTGGGTAAATTCCTAGCAGTGCTATTGCTGGCCCCTAGGGGAGTTCTACTGTTAATTTTTTGAGGAACCTCCACACTGTTTTCCAGAGGGGCTGTACCAGTTTACATTCCCACCAACAGTGCAGGAGGGTGCCTGTTTCTCCACATCCTTGCCAGAATCTAGAGTCTCCTTATTTGTTCATTTTAGCCACTCTGACCGGTGTTAAGGTGGTATGTCAGTGTGGTTTTGATTTGTATTTCCCTGATGATGAGGGACACTGAGCATCATTTCATGTGTCTGTTGGCCATCTGGATGTCCTCTTTGGAGAAGTATCTGTTCATGTTTTATGCCCATTTCTTCACTGGATTATTTGTTGTTCGGGTGTGGAGTCTGGTGAGTTCCTTATAGATTTTGGATACTAGCCCTTTATCTGATATGTCATTTGCGACTATCTTTTCCCATTCTGTCAGTTGCCTATTAGTTTTATTGATTGTTTCCTTTGCCGTGCAGAAGCTTTTTATCTTGATTAGGTCCCAATAGTTTATTTTTGCTCTTGATTCCCTTGCCTTTGGGGATGCCTCACTTTAGCCTTTTATAACTTCCTCTATGCCTTCTTGCAACTCCAGTTCTAACCGGGTGACCATAAATTTGCTCCTGATTTCCATAATGTTGTCATTTTAAATATGTTTATAAATGGTTCAAGCCCCATTTTGAGAGTAGAGCTTACTTATTTAAAAAAAAAAAAAGTATGTAAGAGAAAATAATTTGGGGTACCTGGCTCACTTAGCCAGGCATGTGACTCTTAACCTCAGGGTCATGAGTTCAAGCCCCACGTTGGGTATAGAGCTTACTTAATTTAAAAAAAAAAAGGTATATAAGAATGTTACATAATGGAATCATACAGTATTTAACTTTCTGGGATTAAAGTTTTTCACTCAGCAAAATTCCCTCATGATTTATCCAAGTCATTGTGTGTTATCCATAGTTTGTTCTTAACACCATCTTTCATAATGCTTATTCTGATCTTACCTACGTGAACTATCTGATCAGGAACCATTTTTGCATACTAGCAGATACTTTTAGTTGTAGTTAAAAAAATCCTTTTAAAAAGATTTACTGTACTCTATGATCAGAACTACATTCTTAAAAAAGAAAACTAAAGAATGTTTATCTTAGTATGTTGGAAATTCAAAATACTTTTCCCCTCTTATTTTTTTCTCTTTTTCGGATATCTCAATTTTAAAAAACTTTATCTTGGGATACCCAAGTGGCTCAGTCAGTTACGTGTCCAACTTTTGATTTTGGCTTTGGTCATGACCTCTTGGTGTGTGAGTTCAAGCCCTGCATTGGGCTCTGTGCTGACAGTGAGGAGACTGCTTGGGATTCTCTCTCTCTCTCTCTCTCAAAATATATAAACTTTAAAAAATAAATTAAATAAAAAAGTTTATCTAGGTCTTAAAAGTAATTTTTTTACAGTGTTATAAATTTTATATTATTCAAACTTTTATGTTTCTGGAAAGCAATTTGGTAATGCACATCCAGAAACCGATTATGTACTCTTGACTCACTGCCCAGGATTCTGGCCTCAGGAAATAAGGATTGACAAAGGCAAAGATTTATATACAATGGTTTCACTGCATCATACTCTGTATTAGTAAATGAGAACAGTTTAACTGTAAAAAAAAAAAAAAAAGAATTAGAGCTTTGGTTGAAGAAATGATGATACAATTGTATAACCATGTTTAAAACATTTTTAATAAAATAGTAAATGCTCATGACATAATATGAAGTGAAAAGAGGGAGAGCCTGGCTGGCTTAGTCAGTAGAGCATGCAACTCTTGATCTCAGGGTCATGAATTCAAGCCCTATGTTGTTATGGAAAGTACGTAATTAGAAAAAATAAAAGTTAAAAAAAAGAAGAAAAGAGATATAAAAATTGCGTTTTCTACTACATTGTTTTCTCTTATTCTGATACATGGCTTCTCTTTTATTTATTTATTTACTTACTTATTGAGACAGAGAGAGAGACTCTTATTCTGATATATGACTTCTTATTTATTTATTCATTCATTCATTCATTCATTCATTCATTCATTCATTCATTGAGAGAGAGAGAAGTGGTGCTCACCCAGGGCTCATGGTTTTGTTTTGTTTTTTACAAATAAGTTTATTGTCAAGTTGGTTTCCATATAACACCCAGTGCTCATCCCCACAAGTGCCCTCCTCCATGTCCATCTCTCCCCTCCCCTCCCATACCCATCAGTCCTCAGTTTGTTCTCATCATTCAAGAGTCTCTCATGGTTTGCCTCTCTCCCTCTCCTCCACCATTTCCCCCCTTCTTCTGCCCCATGGTCCTCCGTTAAGTTCCTCCTAATCCTTCTATACGTGCAAACATATGGTATTTGTCCTTCTCTGCCTGACTTATTCACTCAGCATAACACCCTCAAGGTCCATGTTGCTACACATGGCTAGATTTCATTCTTTCTCATTGCCATATATTCCATTGTATGGATACACCACATCTTCTTGATCCATTCGTCTGTTGATGGACACTTAGGCTCTTTCCATGTTTTGGCTATTGTTGAGAGTGCTGCTATGAACATTGGGGTACACGTGCTCCTATTCATCAGCACTCCTATATCCCTTGGGTAAATTCCTAGCATGCTATTGCTGGGTCCTAGGGGAGTTCTATTGTTAATTTTTTGAGGAACCTCCACACTGTTTTCCAGAGGGGCTGCACCAGTTTACATTCCCACCAACAGTGCAGGAGGGTGCTCGTTTCTCCACATCCTCGCCAGCATCTTGTGTTCTCTGATTTGCTCATTTTAGCCACTCTGACTGGCGTGAGGTGGTATCTCAGTGTGGTTTTGATTTGTATTTCCCTGATGAGGAGGGATGCTGAGCATCGTTTCATGTTTGTTGGCCATCTGGATGTCCTCTTTGGAGAAGTGTCTGTTCATATCTTCAAGCAGGGCTCATGTTAACCCAAAGTGGGGCCCAAGCTCATTTGATGCAGGGCTTGTGCTCGCTCAACAAGGGCTAAAAACTCAAAACCTGTGAGATCATGACCTGAGTCAAAGTCAGATGCTTAACAACAGAGCCACCCAGGCTCCCTCTTTTATTTTAATTGCTCTGGGTACGTATGTTTTTATTTTTTAAGTTATTTCACATCCTTCTTAGCAGTAGGGATAAATTAGAAGTATGTAAAACAATATAGACAATAGACAAAAAATATCTGAGGCCTTCCTAAATTAGGCATATAGCATATAAATAATAGCAACAGTTGATAAAAGAGCTATTATCAACACTATACTCAGTCCTTGACACAGATTAACTTATTAAATCCTCACTATAAAACATTTCCTCTTATTGTAAAAATATGACAAGAATAAATCCAACAGTCACAATGTAAATTTAACTGCAAATTTTCAAAATAATGATCTGTAAAGTTTTATAATTCTTTTTAGATGACAGTTGCCTGAGAACTTAACACCATACTGCACTTTCCATGCTTCTCTACATCAAATATTTTTTTCCTTTTCAAAAACATTTTCAAAACACAGTGGTTGGAGTAACCTAAGTGTTTAGTAGTAAGAGAATGTTCAGGAATAGCATGTGACTGGCTTAGTCAGTTAAACATCTGCTCCTTGATTTCAGCTCAGGTCATGATCTCATGGTCTAAGACTGAGCTCCTTGCCGGGTTCTGCACTGGGTGTGGAGTTTGCTTGGGATTCTCTCTGTCTCTCTCTATCCCTCTTCTCCAGCTCACTCTCTTTCTCTCTCTCTCAAAATAAATAAATACAGACATAACAATAACAAAAAAATACCATTTGATGAAATACTGACAATAATAATAATGAATAATATGAAGATTATCAAAGCAATATGAAAAATGTATATGATATAACGTGAAGTGAAAAGGACAGAACAAATTGGTATGTATGCTATAATTGTTATACCATAGAAATATAAGTCTATACAAAAACACTGGGAAGGCATATATAAAAATAGATTATAGTGATGTCAGCTCAATTTTTCACATTTTCTGAGCATTTTATGGTTTGAAATACAGATACAAAAAAATCCAACTACCATGTTATTTATTATTTGGCAGATTTTAATAGTATAGAAAAAGTATCTCTTGGGGCGCCTGGATGGCTTAGTCGGTTAAGCGTCCGACTTTCGCTTAGGTCATGATCTCGTGGTTCGTGGGTTCGAGCCCCGCGTCGGGCTCTGTGCTGACTGCCAGCTCGGAGCCTGGAGCCTGTTTCAGAGTCTGTGTCTCCCTGTCTCTCTGACCCTCCCCTGCTCACGCTGTCTCTCTCTTTCCTAGAAATAAATAAAAAAAATTAAAAAAAAAAAAAGAAAAAAAAAGAAAAAGTATCTCTTTTCAGATGCTTTAAGGACAGGAAAGTCTCATTCCCTCACAGCTCTGTTTCAAAGGAGTTTATATGTAGTAACAATGACAGCTAACATTCACGGAGAATTTAAAATGTATCAAGCACCTTGCTATGTATACTACATGTATTAACCAGTTTAATCCTTAAAACCCTAGGAGTTTGGCTCTATTATTATCTCAGTTTCATAGATGAACAAACTGAGGCACAGAATGGCTATGTACCCACAGCTAGTAAGTGACAGAGCTAGGATTTAAATCCAGGCAGTCAAGCTCCAGGGATAGTACCACTAACCACTAAGTAGGCTGTTTCTAAATTCTTTATAGATCAAATTATGTAAGGAGAAACATGGGCAAATTACTGAACTGCCGTGCCTTAGTTTCTCCATCTGTAAAATGAAGATAATAATAGAACTTCCTTCACAAATTTGTTGTTAGGATTAAATGAACACCATACATGTAAAGTACTTAGAACAGTGACTAATGCATATTAAGGGCTTTGTAAGTGCTTCCTTTATATTGCATATATTACTTATAGTTTTTTGGTAGGCTAGACATTTTTCAAATGAAAAGAATATATATATGTATGCAAAAAATATATATATGCAAATGTACATACATACCTACATACATGCAAAACTTCACTGTGTGTGTCAGATAACATATTTGGTCTTACCTTGCCTAGGAATAACATGAAATCCCCCACCGTGTTGATGGCAGCTACTCGTAAAGCATTCTCTACAAGAATGACAAAGGCGTCCTTGGCGGAGGTGCAGAAGTTGGTGCTGTTGATAGCTGTGGCTGTGTATGCATTCTGGACAAAAGCAAAAAACAATATTTTCATTAATAAATGTGATTTTTACTTTTTTAAGATATAAACAGAATACAATGGAAGCACAACTTGTAAAAACAGTCCACAGTTAAACCTATGGCTTTGGTGAGGTACAGGTTAAGATTAAGTGCAAGGAAATTCAAGACATTAAAAAGAAAACAGGCCTGATATGGTAAAAAGAGCTTTTTGGTTGGCTTAGTTTTAGTCCTTTTAAAACACTGACATTTATTAACACACACAAATTTTTCCAACATCTATTAATTTCTTCCCTGTCTCAGTAAATCAAACATAATTTAACCTTTCCTGGATGTTTCAGGTTCATCACTATGAATATCGTGATGTATTATTACCATTTCAGTGATTCTTTAAATACACAAATATGTAAAGGTATAAGGATGCTGTGATGTTTTACCTGGAACATCTATCATCTCCTCTTTGGTGTTTTCTTTCATGCTGTCACTTCTCACAGCTCTTGTGGTAGACAGCCGTTTGTTGCCCAACATACCCCTCCTTCCTGGGAGCAGGACCCCAAATCCCCTTTGAGGAAACAGTCCTCCATTCTCTTAGAGTCTGAGTCAGGGACACTACCTGTAGCTCTGGGGGTGGGCCTTGATTGATGTGAGCCAATCAGCGTGTTCTACTCCTCTCCACAATGATTGCTTCAGGAATTGGTACATAAACTAATAGAGCCAAAGAAGGTAAAAGATGTTCCTTGGGGCTTCTGGGAAAAAGAAGTTTCCTTTCTCTTCTTACATGGGAGCTCCTGACAAAGCAGCTCTCTCATTTTCCCAGATAGCGTGATGCAAGGCTACGAGCTGCTGTGGCTATTTTGCAACCATGATATGGGAAGAACCTGAAACTGCTGGGGGTCACAATGTATAACGGAGGGTAAGGCTAACATCATGGAGGTCAGAGCAGAGAGAAACCCGTTACCAGTACTTGGTGGCCGTATCTGCATGATTAGGAACTAGCCAGATGACTGGACTTTTCAGTCACAGAAGCTAATAAATTGCTAAATATCTCCCCTTTCCTCTCTCTCTCTCTACTCCTTTCTCTCTCCCTCTGTTTCTTTTTCCTTTTTTAGGCCAGATTGAGCTAGCTTTCTGTCCCTTGTAGTACTGAGTCCCAGCTGACACACTTTTATTCAATTATATCTGCTTCTGCTGCTCCATGTACCCTGTGACCCTCTGTCACAGACTCTGATTTTTTCCCCCTTTTTACATTGGATTCTAAAAGAGGATTGGCATTTTCTGGAAAATGTGAGTAAGTACTAAAACATCAAATAAATCTGCATCTTAGGAAGGGAAATTTATAGATTTTGTGACTAAAACTTAGACCTGAAGAATTTTTGGTTTAGTGCAGACTTAAATTGTTGAAAAACTGGTATACATGAAGGGCTTACTTTATACTATGTCATCTGTAAAGTTGTTTTTTTTTAACTTAAGTATAGCCGACAATGACACATGATGTTACAATAGCTTCAGCTATACAATATAGTGATTCCATAGCTCTATAATTTATATGATCCTCACCACCAGTTGGCTACCATTTGTCACCATATATTATTACAATACCATTGACTATTTTCCCTATGCTGTGCCCTTCATCTCCAGGACTTATTCATTTCTGTTTGTTTTTGTTTTTAATCTTTTTAACGTTTATTTATTTTGAGAGAGACAGAGACAGAACACGAGCAGGGGAGAGGTAGAGAGAGAAGGAGACACAGAATCCAAAGCAGGCTCCAGGCTCCGAGCTGCCAGCACAGAGCCCGATGAGGGGCTTGAACCCATGAGTGAGATCATGACCCGAGCCGAAGTCAGACGCTCAACTGACTGAGCCACCCAGGCGCCCCAGGACTTATTTATTTCATAACTAGAAGCCTATATCTCCCATTCCCCTTTAAAGAGGGAACTTGGGAGAGACAGTCTTTAATTTCTGAATGTTCCTATTGTATGCTTGTTAGTTAATAGGGACCTGATACGAAGATGAAGTTGGAGGAATTACTAAAAATTCAATTTGCCATTCCAGAATTAAATTTGTTGATTAAAAATGCAGACTATTTCAGGGCCAAGGGGTGCAAACTGTACTGAGAAGGACACACTACTTTTTCAGCAATGGAGCAGTAGGAAATAATGATACTCTTTTAGAAACACAGTATGATTTTTAATATATATAATTCCATCAAACAAATTGGGATAATTTATTATCAGAATATATTACATTGTGTTTGCAGTTCTTTTTATCTCAAAAGCTTATAGAGTATTTTAAAGAAATGATAGTATTAAATTGTTCTAGTAGCATTTGTTTATGCCTTGCTCTCATATATGGTCATCTTATCAGTTAAAAGACAGTAGGCATGAAAGAGTTAACCATCTAACTGCAGTGGTCCACATTTCTTCATCTTCTATAAAGATTCTTTTGAAACATTCTGCCAAATGCCTCAATGACCTCAAAATAAACTATACTTTTGATCTTATGTAACAATAACTCTGCTGAAAAATGATGGAGAACTTCCCAGGCCTGATTTATTCTCAAAGAACCAAGCCCGACCAGTTCCCTACATACCCACACACACAAAAAATTCAACAATGTATTCTAAAGTAGAGGTTGCCAAATCTGACCTGCTGCCTACTTTTATTTAAAAAAAAGTTTTAATGGAACACAGCAGTGTTCATTTGCTTACATATTGTTTAGCACAGCTGTTTTCACACTGTAATGGCAGAACTGAGCAATTGTGACAGAGTCTATATGGTCACAAAGCCAAAATATTTACTATCTTGTCCTTTACAAGAAAACTTTGCTGTCCCTTGTTCTAGAGTATTGCCCAGGATCAATATCAACCTTGTTCACGGTCTATGGAAGCCATCTTCTTATTCCTTTTGAAATACGAACCCCACTTTCTCATTTCTAGTCTTTTGGTAACTTTCCCTACACACAACCTTTCGGTGGTTTGTTTAGCAACCTTTTACTATAATTCTTCAGTTCAACGACTGACAGATTCTGTAGTGATTTGAGACAGAATATCCCATAAGGAAAATACCTTATTTCCCTTATTCTAAGAAATGATCAAGAAACTAATGAACCAGTTACTTAATAACAAGTTTTCAGGGGAAAATACCCTACCATATTAACTATATATTGATTATGAGATGCTTCATGAAATTAAAAACAAAAAAAAGGCATTCTAATGTCTGGAATCAGGGATAGCGGAAAACCCATTTAAATCAACCAGGTACTGTTCTAAATCTCATCTCCTCAACAAGGACAGACAAGTCACTCTTAACTATGCTATTCTACCCTTCTCAATTTGAACACGACCTTCTTTGAAAAGGGACAGGAGCCAGAGAGGATTCATATACTTCCAATCTCTGTCCTTTGTTATCATCAAACCAGATAACTTGGAAAGGGCCTAACACCTCCAAACTCAACCATAAAAGTTATTTGTTCTCCTCATTCATTTTCAGAAGAAATTATTATTCCTCCTTTCTCACTTCTTTCTTCTCTCCCCACCCGGCCCCACATGTCCCACCTACATTGAGAGCAGAAGCCTATTTCTCTGTGGACATAGAAAGAGGCAGCAGTAATTTCTTTTCTCTGCTCATACGTTCCAGGGTTGCAATTTAGCCTTCTTGGCAACATTCCTACAGATCTGTTCAACTCCTTTGTATTCAACCTAACCAAAAAAAGTTAAGTGGATATTTTATAAACTCTTTCTCCCACTCCCAAGTCAGGAAGATGAGCTGCATGTGACATGCAAAGGTCAAGTTACCTCTTCAAGAAGAAAATTATGCTACAGATCACAGCAGGACAATGAAATCTTCTTCCACTTCTGTACCTCCTAGTCTGAAAGGATTCACACAAAGGTTCTCAAGAAATTCTGAGTTCCTTGTGGCTTTCCCTATTAGTGTTCTCTGAACTTTCTGCTCAATTACTTAGTTAAGATTTTTTTGAGCCCACCTACCTCTTCTCAGACGGCCCTCCCGATCTTGAGCTAGACTGTCCACAGAGAGGCATCAATGATTAACATTTAACCAGTGCCCAACATCTAAGGATATAGGCTTAAGACTATTTAACTCCCAGACCACCCAGGAAGCTTTTTAAAAGGATGACTGTTAGCTCAAGTGGTCCCTGGTAACATTTTTGTTTGTTGGTTTATTTTTGAGACAGAGAGAGATAGAGCATGAGTGGGGGAGGGGCAGAGAGAGAGGGAGACACAGAATCTGAAGCAGGCTCCAGGCTCTGAGCTAGCTGTCAGCACAGAACCCGATGCAGGGCTCGAACCCACAAACCGTGAGATCATGACCTGAGCCGAAGTCTGATGCTTAACTGACTGAGCCACCCAGGTGCCCTATCCCTGGTAACATTTTTGTATGACAGGGTGAGGTGAAAAAGTCCTGTGTAAGAAAATGTTAGGGTAGAAGGTCACCATGTAGGTAACCCAGGCCTGCCTGGCCACATGTCCCAGAACATAGCTTCTACATTGTCACATCTTTCCTTTCTTAACATGTCGACCTAGAGATTCTCTTTAAATTTAAAATATTTATGTAATAACTCACTTAAAGTGACAAGCTAGATAACAATGGTAGGAAAAAGGAAACAGGTCTATGAAACTATGTGTGGATCATTATAAATTAAATAAGGGAAAAGGTAATTAAAATGATCCCATTCTTATTTTGAACAAGGAACAGAGGGGGCACAAAGTCCAATCTACACCATACATTTCATTTAGTTTGGTTCTAAATTCTTAAGTCTTTTTAAGAAAAATAAGAATTAAAAATACATTGCAAATCTTACATTGATTGCCTTTAAAACCATCACCTGTCTTAGTTTACAGTAGGAAACATCAAAGTTTGAAATGTCTGCTATTCTCTATAGTAATCTATACTTTTTAGTCTTCTTTGTGTTACATAACACAGATATCTATTTATATGGGAAACGGAGATATGGCAAGAACAAGGCAAACTTAGATTTGAAACCTTCTT